GACAGAAATGTCTCTCAAAGAGGTGCAGACCATTAAAGCCTACTCCCTATTAAGAATCTATTTCCTTCAACTCCTTATTAATACGAAAGCAGTCAATAGAGGAGGATAGCTTCCCACATCCTATGCAGTGTATTTCTCTGCTGCAGTAAAGTGGAACAAGACATAGTGTGGGTGGTGAAAATGGCTGGCATAATCAGTGTAGAATTCTGATGTATCTTTTCTTTTGCACATATTTTATTTTATAGGTCACAAAGGGAGAGTCTTGCATATAACCCTGAGCCCAGCTCAGAACAGTCTCATTTTTGTTGCAGTGTATGGGATGTCTTGTCTGTGAAAATAACATGGGTCTGGGGAGAGCATGCACAGCAACAATGCTTTTTAACAACAGATATTTGAGCTCATTCTTGTGACTTTTTTTTCTTGAAAGCCAGTGATTAATGTATTCAGCCCATTCAATAATTCAAAATATGTGTCTTCCTTCCAATAGAAACATGGCAAAAAATAGTAAAATTTATTTAAGAGAGCAAAATTTTCTTGGTCTGTTATGTGAAATGTTAGTAGTTTGTTTTACCCTAAAGGAAAAATATTCTAACTCTGTAGAATAATGTCATGTATATTTTCATTAAATTAGCAAACATGGAAGGAATCTGACCTGTGTAAAGTGCCAGCATAAAGTGTTAGGTCCTGCTTTTAGTTTTGATTTTTGCAATAAATTTTACATTATTTCAGCATCCCCATTGGTAACCATGTATTGATGTATATTGCCTTGAATCATTCAGAGACTATGATGAGCAGAGACCAGTTCAGGGGTCTGTATTGTTTCATGTATCACATAAATTGTTGTATGGAATCTATCTAAATGCTTTTAGAGTTCTAGGTTAAATATGTAACTAAATATAAATTATTTATAGGGAATTGTTAATTGTTTTCAGAATGGTAATGATAACTAGCATAATTAGGAAACGATCTTTACTGGATTTTTAATTGTTTCCTTTCCTTAAACCTACCCACTATGTTTGACAATGACTGAAAATGCAAACAATTCCATAACAATTCTATTATTATGCATAGTTATGTAACCAACTAATTAAGAATTCAGAAGGACATAGATGAAGGAGCATGCTGTTTGGGCCAAACACAATTATTAGTTCATTTCTTAAGGGTACCAGTTAAGTTCTGGTTGGCAGCAAACAGTGCAGCTATCACCGTATTATGAATTTTATTTAATGCTCACAAGGACAAAACCCCTTGGACTTTAACATATATTTGCCCTGCAAGACTTGTATACTGCCAACAGCTAAGTAAAGATGTCAGGATTGGTCCTCAAAAGCTATTCAGACACAGATCAGTAGTGCTTAATCAGTGTGTTCTGCCTACAGACACCTTTGGAGCTTTTCTTTTATTGTGAGGAATGATCACAGGCAAGGGGCAAGGATTCATTCTTGCAATTTTATATTAAAAGCCCTCTGAGCTCAGAAACTTGAATTGTTTGGATTCCTTTCTCTTATTTTCTTTCACAAATGAAAATTTATTTAGAATATTTCCTGTAGCTGGGGAAGAATAGGATATTAGGGGAGTAGAGCAGTGCCAGTCCATGGAAAATTACACTGTGGTGAAATGCATGAAAAGAGAGAGACAGGGGCATAAGTTATCTCTGTAAATGAATGCAAAACCATCATGTCTTTCATTCTCATGGTTTTTAAAACCTCATCTTCTGCTGTTCACAAGTCATGTGGTTGCTAACTTTAGCTTTGGGAGGTTGAGACAACTCATCTGTTTTACTTAGTAAGAGCTTGCAATAAACCTGCTATTCAGCTACTGGGTTCTCACATCAACTCATGTGATCTTCAAAGCAGATTAGAAAATGGCAATATTGGTTTTCAGTTGAGAAACTGCTACCAAGAAGCCGATGTCTAAATATGGGAAATAACTTATACTGTGAGTGTCTTCTATCAAATATGAACAAGTTTGTTTCTGGAGATTTTATCAGACAATTAGAATCTGGTTTAAATACTCAAAATAATATTTTAAATAATTTGAAAGGTTTTAGGAATATAAAAACATTTTTCCCCATTTGGAATGTTAAAAAATTGGTAGAATTAGTCTCTTTGCTCATGCTTTTTTTTTATTTGCCCAGAGATTCTCTCTTTTCTTTGGCAGCACCTAAATGATATTTATATCATTTATATTCAGTATAAGAGGAAGTGTATGACAAAAGATGGGATGCTGTAGTGTGGAAGGACCTGACCAATACTGAAACCATGCATATTTTGCTGGATGCTGAAGCATCAAAATAAGAAAGTACATGTTTTTCAGCCCAAGAACTGCTCATATCTTAGTTACTTATTGCTCATTGTTAACTAGTCAAGCTCTACTGCCCCTGATGTATTTTAGCATAATATCTAAAAGTGGGAGAAGCCACTGATTTCAAAAGCCCATAAATACGAGAGGACCTTGTTTATGTGACCTGTAGGTCTGTTATGTGACCATGTCTGACAAGATATCTAAGTGTGCATCCCAGACTGTAACTAATCTGGAGTGAAATCAATTGTACACTGTAGTGTTTTTTTTAATGAATGTGCAGAGCATGAAACTGCTGAAAGCTGACCATTTTCTTGCATAGATGCCTCATTCTGCCCATGCAGATGTCTTAACATATGAAGTCTTGGTCAAAATTTGAAATCCTGATTTTTCCCCCTGTAGAATATGTCATTCTTTTAGCTCATTGCCAGTTACATGCCTGCTATGTTGTTCAGGCCCAGGATGAGACAGAAACCAGAACACATTTCTAATAAGTCAACTTGTTCTGCATCTGTTGTCTGTATGTACTGAAGGCTGAGTCTCCAGGGATGGCACAGAGGTTTAAGAAATTTAAGTTGATCAAAATCAGATCTTCGTCCCTACAGCCCTGAGCAAGGTGGAGCACTGTACAATATATAGAATCAAAAATTCCAGGTCAAAAATACCTTTTACCTGAAGAAAAATTTCATTGCTCCTACAGTGTGTGTGTCTTTCCTCTCAGTTATATCAATATGACAAAACAATTGTCAGGAATTCAATGACCATGGAATCCATTTGTTCCCACACTTAAAAGCACTAAGTCCAGCAGACAGTGCCCTGTTCTGCCCCTGTATGATCTGACTTGGTGCTGCCTAAGTATATGTTGCGTGAGTTTTTGTAATGCAGTTTATATCTGTTACTTCCCTCCAATTATCTCATATGGCCAGACTGAGAAGAAAACAATGACATCAAATTATCATAGCATTTTTCTTAGCTAGTGTGGGCTCCATTCCATAGTGAGGAAACTCTGTAGTGAATGGGTTCATATCATGCCTGTTGAACAGAGACCTCCCCATCTAGAGGAAAATTCTGTTCTCTCTTGCTCATGCTTCTTCTTTTTTCTACAGGTTTACGTTATTGGCAGTAGTGACAGAGGCTGGAATTTTGTTTTTACCACGTAAGTCCAATTCCACAGGCTTATTTTGTACAATTAACTTAAAACATCCATGTAAAAACATACCTTTCTAAAGTATTTTGGGGCAGGTCCTAAATTTCAAGGTAGAAGAGGAAGGCTGCACATCTTTCTGTTGCATGTTTCTTCATGCATTACAAATTTCTCTTTGGTTAGAACCTCTCCTTCCTGATCTCTAAGGTTCTCAACACTTGGTTCAGAACACCCATCTGGAAAATGGAGAAGTACTGAATTACAGGATTTCAGGGGCATTTTCCACTGACAAGGGTGCTGTTTGTGACTTTTGGGGAAGAAGAAAACTCAGGCCGAAGAGAAAGAAGAATGATGAAATAATGCAACAGCAAGATGAAAGAAAGGCGATGAAAATATGAGCAAAGGAATGAAGACTAATGTATGGGAACAGTGAAAAGCCCTAGATGTGCTACAGTTTGGTGAGGATATTTTTGTATCCTGAAGGTTTTTAGAATTAGTTTTTGTCTAAGCAGGGGTGTGGTAGTTTGCAAGAATAAAAAGTCTGAATTTACTTATTTTCTTTGTGTTTAAAGATAGAATCAAGTCACTGCTTTGGGTGTTGGTAGCAGTCAGTGAGTGAAATTCTCCTCTCAGTTTCACTGATGGAATCTTATTGATCTGAGAATCTTTTTCTCTGCTCCTGCTTTGCTTATGTGTTTGTGTGTCCCTTTGTGCGCATATTTTCTATGTTCAGCCCAAGAATGAGAAAAAAATTTAGAAATAAAAATAGGAATATGGAAAACCCTGACTGTGTAATGTTTTGTAGCAAAAAGAAAAAAAGATGTTTTTCATCATCAAAAATTCCAGTAAAGATCCCTGTAGTTTAGGCCTCCATTTTTACCCTTCCTTACTTCTCTGTGAGAAAACTACTGTCTCTTCTAAAGGAGATCAGGTAAAGATAGTTGTGTAGAAAAGTTTTAGTTTGTGCTTTCTCATTGTAAGTGGTGTTTAATTGCTCAGCATGGACAGAGCAACAATATTTAAATTAAAGCAATTTCAAAATTTCTCCACCCTTGAATGTTCTCTTCTTTCTCTTAGCTAATGCCTGTCTCCAAATAAAAGCCTCTTGAAGCAAAACAAAATAAGTCCAAGCCCTTTCTGGGGTGCTCACAGCATTGAAAATGCCCAAGTATCTTAATATAGAGGCAGGCAGAAACATTTTTCACAACAGGTCTATTTGCTGCTTGACAAATGCTTGTTGAAGCACTCAAAAATTTCACTGCATGTCTGAAACAGCAGAACTGTCATCATAAAATTACGAGTGCTTTTTATTATCAAGAGTGCTTTATCATATTGACCTGTAACAGTTCCTGTAATTTCTCTGAAGCGTGGGTTTTCAGATGATTTTTTAAACACAATGCTGCTTATTTTGGTATGTTTTGCAAACATAACATGTACGGAACATTACACAGGTAGTAAACAGATCCTACAGATAGTACATAGACTATCTCTACTACCAGAGACAGAGCTTTCCACATAAATAGCCAGCTGAAAGCAGCCTTTATTAATTTCTGCCATTTCTTTATTAATTGTGAAGTACATAAAGGAATAAAATCTAGAGGTTTCAAATACATGACAGTTAGAAAATTAATACTTATGTCCCACAGTTGCTGAAATGTAATTTTCTGAAGCTTAGCAGTCCACTACACCTATAAAACCATGAGCTTTGCTGCAGAGAAACGAAGTTTTTTAGGTGTCTGTGCTTGTACCTAGTATTCCACCAACTTCCAGGGTTTTTGCAGAAGTCCATGTACAGAAGAGAGCTGTATATACTCAACATGCAGTGAGGGCCCAAAAAAGGATTGGGCTCTTGATCTGAAATACCAATGCATGTAGAGCTCAGTGTGAACTACAGGGATGTTGGAATTCTCAGTCCCAAATATCCCAAATGACTACATGGCTAACAACATAAGCTATAAATGCTGTCCTAGCATAACTACATCAAGCTGCCAAAACTCAGTGTGAGAATACCTCTTTTACCACACTGATGAAGCTGTTTCCAAAAGCCCATTTCAATTACACAAATCACATGGCCCAAACCCAATCCATTAGGCCCCCCCTATGGTTTTCCTTATCCACTCAAGGTATCGCTTTGTGAGTCGAGTGTAGACACCTGGGCCATCAGCCTTGCCACAGCTCTTCGGCTTCCCAAACGAAGTGATGCCTCTCATCACATTGTTACATCTCAAAGGTCCACCAGAGTCCCCCTAGAATAAGGGAAAATATTGACATTCAAATTAACAAAAGCTAAAAAATGTTTCTTTTACATAAATTTTCACTAGTTAGGTGGAGAAAATAAAAATGCAGCCAGTGTTATTAGGGATTATTTTTTCCTCCTTGGAAATTAATATTAACAACAGCAAAACAAATGAAAAAAAGGTTTCATAGATTTCAATCTAATCTTTGAAGTGTGTGTAATGTGGAATTAATCTAGCTCAGTGCTAAGGAAGAATTAGTCTTTTTGGAAATGAAGAAAAAAAGCTGAAAACTTTCCTCATGGAAAGTGTAAGTCTCCAGAGACTGATACCTTTTCTTGGATAACTTTTTAAATGCAATATTTAAATCTTCTAAAATGTGGTAGTTCTTACACAGTTGAACTTGGGACTCTGCCAAAATGCTTTTTATCTCCAAAACTTATTCCAAAGTCTTCTGACATCAAAGAAGTTGTTCCACTGAGGTTAGCTACTTGAGAATGGGCCCATAAGGTGTTTCATGGACATTTTAGTATTAAACTTATTGAAGATGAGGACAGCTATCTGCCATGCCTGAGGATACAGCTGCAGTATCAAAAGGCTGCAAAGGTGAATTTACCCATCTCCAGTAGAGACAGAGATTGTAAATGTATAATGCTAGTACATTGTATTATATTTTTATTATACAATTTATGCAGTCATAGTAAATGTACTTACATTACATGAGTCCTTTTCTCCATTCGTAGCCCCTGCACATATCATGTTCTCTGTTATGACAGGTTTGCCATTATAATGTTTTTTATTGTTGCAGATTTCCCTCCTGATGACAGTGATATTGACTTCCATCAGGGCAGTAGGCAATGTGTATGGATAACTGGTAGTTGTACCCCATCCTGCTACTGAGCACACTGTTCCTGGTTTGGGATCATCATCTGAGGTAGGCAGGGGGATTGGTTGCACAGCTTTATTAAATTTTGCTCTTCCCTGAAGCTGTAGAAGATATGTAAAACTGGTATTATGGACCAGAGTCTAACAGAGTCCCTTGCATATTAACCATTGGATCTCTCCCATAATAGTAATTAATGCAAGCCCTTTTTGAGATTCCTCAATTCTTTATGGGAGTTTTTTATGTCATTAATGTGAGAATGAGGAAAATTAGTATTATTTGTCTCATGAAAGCCCACTTACCTTCTGCTGATGTATTACCTTTAAAAAACATCTTATTTTGCTTCTCTATCTCTCAGACCATTTAGAAGACAAAATAACAGTAATTACTGAGGCTGGCAAAATTGAGGATGAAAATAGCCAGACATTTTTAATTAGAATTCTTTTTCAGACAGAACATTAGTGCTTTTAACCAAATGTTTTGTCTGCATGAATCTTTATTCTTTTATGGAAAAGCCAAAAACTGAAATATCTTGATCAACGTCCAGAATTTGTCTACTAGCCGTGGAAAACATCACAGGAATTGTTGATTGCCTTAGTTACCAATTCCCCAGGCTGCTAGGTTAGCAGACCAGACTATATCACCCCAGAAAAAAACCCACCAGAAACTCCCTTGGCTCATCTCCTCCACAAGCAGGAAGAAAATAGTTCAATGTAGGAGATGTATATTCCACAAATGATATATAAGTATGTACCTGCAGCAGCATAATGTCATTTTCCTTGGTACTGGGGTTGTAGCATGGATAACGAATGCATTTTGCAATTTGAAAAGTCTGCTGTTCTTTTTCACTTTTTTTCAATGAATGGGCTCCAAGAATAACTTTGCTTTTTTCCCTGAGGAGAGGACCACATAGTTAACAGGATTCACTTTGATGTAACTGTAATTTTTTGCTGGTTAGTGGGGTGCTGCTACAGTCTCTTTTCTTGTGCCTGAAAAGCAGCAGTAATTTAGAAATACCTAAAAGATGACCCTGTTCATACAACAGCTGAAAGAAAAAAAGTGACTGAGTGGATCAAGATTCATGCTATCTTATTTTGATTTTTCCCAGGAGCACAGAAAGGTTTCAGATACTCTGATAGACTCTGGGTCTATCCCCATTGTTTCCTTTTGGGAACTGAATGAGTGGTGGATGCATCAGATTTGCTGTGGGTACTTATCTCACCAACTGTGCTGTAATTTGTGCTGAAAATTTAGGAAAATAGGTAAGAACATTGTTAGTTCAAAGATATCCTAACTGTATCGAAATGTACCATTGCTTTGCTCTAACAGATTTCAACATTTTCTGAATCCATGTGAGACACGGCTCATTCCCCTTCTCTAGGTTTTCCTGCAATTTCCTGCACCTACAAGATCCTGCAGGGGTGTCAGAGTTGTGCCTGCTGCAGCTCTCTGACAGACACACCAGCAGTCTAGCACTCCTTGCCCAAACAGGCCAAGCAGACATTACTAAATGACCACAGGTACAGCTGGTTTTGGGCAAACAATGCATCCTACAGTTGAATGGGAGAATATTCTTGAAGCAGATGTGTATGTGTGTATGTTGTATTCATGTCTTATTGTGGAAAACACAACCCTGGGAAATTGGTCGCTCCTTTCCTTCATCTATTGAGAGCTGTCTGCTGGTGTGTCTGTCAGAGAGCCGCAGCAGGCACAACTCTGACACTCTTTGTAGTAGGTCCCACATATCTCCTTGTCTGGACAAGGACAGGACAGATGGATACATTTCTCTGAAGTCTGCAGCGTCCAGTGGCTCACTGGACTTGGTTAGGCTGTTGACAGAGCCTGAGTGAGGTCTGGCTCAGCAGCAGCTTCACTCCTCCCAACAAAAGCAAGTAGGGGTGGGATGTGGAATTCAAAACTCCTTGCCTTGGTGAAGGGCTCAGTAGAGCCAAATATCCATTTGCATCTTGATTTGGGCACTAGAAGAAAGAATAGCTGGCAAGCTAACATATGAAGTAAGGCAGAGATCTCTCAGTGTCTCCTGTCACCTGTTTGGAGGACTTTTGTTCCTGTGTTAACCACATGCTGTCTCCTTCTGTGGTGAACCGTGTATCTCTTGCAGAATAAAATGACAGGAATTTATTTTTGTTCTTAGAGCATCAGTTTAGACTGGACAGTCCTCTCATCTAGTCTCCAGCTTGACTGAGAAACAAGGATAAAACTTTCCCCCAAATTGACTGTTTCAGAGTCACTATTCAATGCTTGCATGAAGCTAGAAGTTTTAAAATATCTTCTCTGAAACAGTGGAGATCAATATACCTTGTTATATTTTTTTTATTCACTATAACAAATTCGCTGATAGAACCTATAAAGCACAGCAATCAGAACATGATCATGGTCATGATACATGGACAAAGAGATACTAACTCTTCTGCCTGAAAAGAGATACCAAATACTCACTAAGGACTATCTCTGAATCAGAGTTAAGAACTTACACTTTACAATGTGCAGCTGTTAACACCCAGTTTTCCTTGATTAAAGCTCCTCCACAAGAAACTCCTCTTGGTCCCTTGATTTGGGCCATAAATGGTCTAGAGTGTGGTTTTACTTCTTTTCCTCCAATGATATCTGCACACAAACCTAAAAAAGTAAGCCACAAGACAGACAGGTGGGCTAACAAATACTGTAAGACACTCTGAGTCTCCTAGAAAACACGTCTGTTGTAATTAGAAAGCATACAGACACACAAATGTGCACATATGTCACAATGATGGTCTTCTGAGTAGAATTTAAAAACTGCTCAGCAGAATAACTTCATTACATTTCAATAATACTGAAATGAGATCAGTGGGGTGAGCTTGGGCAAAAATCCCACCAAAGTTTTGTTGTTTTCACACAGATTTATTTTCCTGAAGATTACTGATACGGTTAAGTTCTTGGCTTTCATTGTGAGTAACAACCTCAGATCAGCCATATCTTAAATACTGCACATGGAAACTGGACTATATGGTGTAAGTCACATTATGTGGATCTGTTTTTCAGAAGAGAAGATCAAGCAGTTAATGTGTATGTATGGCTCTGGAGAGAAAGAGCAGATAATCATTATATACTATACTCAGAACTCCTCCAAACAGCTTGGACTTCATGGAGCTTTAATTAAGAGTACACATTCAGAAATTATTTTGTTTGTGTTAAAGATCAAGCAATGGAGAGGAGCTAATTACAAGAATTCAAATAATAATTGTGACTACTTCCTTTACATTAGTACATGTTGGCTTAGCTAGAATTCTGCACATCAGCTCTTACCTTCAAAAGTATTAAATTGTGTACTTACCTCCATGAATTACCAGAATGACAACAGCAAAGGTGTACCAAGTGAGGAATGCACCCATGATTTCTGTCTGATGTTTCTCCTTATTCACTGTTTAATATACCTCTATGAATCTATCTATATAAATACATAAATGAAGAGGATGTGGGTTGTGTTTTTCCTCTTAAGGGTGTTTGACATCTGTAACCACGACAGAGACAGAAACCCTCCCTAACGACAAACCTTACAGCAGAAATGTTAGTAAGAGTTTGCGTCATCTGCTGTGGTGTGAAGACAGGCTCTCTGTGTTCTCTCAATAGCATTCACAGAGAACTGATGTGTGCATGTGAAACACAGTGGCACTCAGCTCACATAGATTTAGGCTGATTCAGTTGTCCACATGAAGTTGAACAGTTTCATTCCACACACCTCAGGAGGCTTCCAGGTCAGACATGAATTCCAGTCCATTCCCCAATAATGAAATATGTGTTCTGCTTAGGGCCAAGGAATCTGATGTTTTCTCATTTCAGGATCTGATCCTATCTCATTAGCTTTAGACTGGCTGAGCACTCATACAGCACTGAGTGTGGTTTCATGGCCTATAGCTAAGGGTATAATGATATTTAAAGTGTCTTGAGGTATTTTTGGTCTAGTGCAGAAGGCCATCAGACTTCTAAAGATGCAGATTTGCCAGCCCTGTGTACATGTCTGAAAAGCCCACAGTGTCTCAAATGTGACTAAATGCTGAGTTTTAGGCAACTGAATTGAGTCCTGAAAACTCAGGGTGGTTGGGCACTGGAACAGGCTCCCAAGGGCAGTGGTCATATCACCAAGCCTGACAGAGCTCAAGACGTGTTTGGACAATGCTCTCAGGCACAGGGTGTGATTTTTGGGGTGTGCAGAGCCAGGATGTGGGCTTCAATAGTCCTTGTCTGAGTTTCTTCCAACTCAGATATTCTATGATTCTGTGAATAAATAATATCTGGAGCCTTGTAAACGCACAGTTTCTCCTTTGCAAAGATACACCCAAATAATAAAAATAACTTGCATCAATGTTAAATAATTTGGAGTATCAATTATCCTATAACCTAACTAGTGAATTGTCACTGTCACACAGACTGGAAGGTTTCTTGAAGTCTTGAGCCTCACAACAGGCAACCTGCAGAAAGGAGCCCTGCAATGAGGAGCTTGCAGAAATCATCTGGGTTCTAGCTGTATCATATCTTGGGCTCAGTTGGCCCAGCACCATGTGAGTTTCACCTGTAGAAGACCTTGCTAAATTTGCTGTTGCTCTCCCTTTGGGACAAAGGATAATTTGGCAATTTTTCTGAAGGAGGAAGGTGTAGATCTAATTTTAGAGACTGTGGAGCTCTTTGTCACTGATGTGTCTTTGTTGAGATGCAGTCACCTATGTAACACTGTGACAACTCCATGCACTGCTAAAGCTTACCAAGATTAAAATTTCTTTAATTTTTCTCCTCATTACTAGCACAACCCCCATAATTATCATCACTTTGTAGCACTGGTGTTCTTTTTTACAGTGTTCTCCTGAGCACAATACCACCAGGTATCATAGGTACAATTCTTTCTTTTATCAATTACAATTATTTGACAAAGTCTGATTTTATGGTACTTTAATTAGCACTCTTACCATATTGAAGATGTTTCCTGACTGGACTATGCAGAGACATGGTCAGGAGCAAAAATCTTATGAGCAAAAATCCTGTATGCTTAGACATGCTTAAACTTGTAGCACTACAATAATTGATGCTTGGATGGTCCTATGTGAGGTGAAATGGCCGGTAAAAAGAGGTTTGGTATGTATCATCCTATGTTTGCCTGATCTGTTTTCAAGGAAAATCTATTTGAAAGACATGGCATAAAACATTATCAAATGTTCCTAGATGTTTTCCAGGTAAATAGATAAATCTATAAGTAAATAGGTAAATAATCTATGCCTTGTATCTAAAACCAAATCTTCTCTAGCCTATTTTGACTTTTTAAAATTTCTAGTTGTGCTTCTATTTACTTCTAAATCATACTTCTAAAGATACTGTTTTCTAAAAATCCATAGGTACTAGCTTCTTTAAAAATCCCCTCCAATTCTAAGAGATCCATTGACATTGATAATTAGAATTAGAAATATGCAGTCTAAACTATTCAGTATCAATTGATGACTTTCTGTGCAAGTTCCTAAATGACCTCTCTGACTATCTGTAAAATCATACTAATGGTATGGGTATTAAAGATCAGATTGATATGCATGTAACCAGCACCAGTTTTGTACCCAAATGCTTTGTCAGAGAGTTTCTTCATCTCGTAATTTACATTGTCTATGCTGAAAATTTGAATTTTAGGGTGTACAATTATTTGGCTGGGCTCCTTTGGTTATGGTAATAAGTTAATTTATGGTGAAGTTTGGATACCATTGGCCTTTTGCAAGTAAAGGGAAACCCCAAAGCAAAGCTTCCTTCTCAAGTCAAATTATTTTATTAGGTCCTCTGTTGCATACTCAATTGGTCTTAGAGAGGAGTGAGGTATTGTAAGCAAAACACTCCATCCTTTCTCCTTATGGTGGTCACAAAGCAGAGCCACTCACTTGGCAGAAGCCACTGCCTGAGTAAAAGGACCAGGACTATATGTAGTGCTATTTCCAGCCTTTGGGGAAGTTTCCTATGGGCTTTAGGCTCATGGGTCAGTGGATCACTTCCAGCTCTGTCCATTACTGTGCTGAGGTCTTCTATCCCTTTTCTTTTACTCTGTCATTTTGACCATTTTCCTTCTGTAGTGACTGTGTTCTGTTTTCCTTCATGCTGCTTTCTTTGGTGCTTGAGGTGAGCATCAGACGTCATTTTAGGACATTGGTTCAGGAGACCAATTGAAACAATTTAAACTGTGCCTCTAAACTTTCCAGGCTTGCTGCTGCTGAGTTCAGGCAGTTTCACCTCAGCTGAAGGGCTGTTTTCTTGGGCTGGGAAGGGAGGGCAGGGCCATGGTGCAGAGCTGGCAGCTGCCAGGAGCACAGCAAGGCAGAGCTGCCACACTGTCCTCTGTCTTCTCCTTGGGCTGCCCCATCTCCAATCCCAGTGTGCCTGGACACACCCCTTAGTGGCTGGGAGACAGATTCCCAGGGACTTGCTGGGGAAAGGTCAGAACATATGCTGGGGCATACCTGTTTTATTTTCTCCTCTGGTACCAGTGCCTCATGATACTTACCTGGTTGTCTTTTCTGCCTCAGCTATTCACTTAGTGTCCCCTGTTCCTGTTTATTTGTTATGTGATATCAGCAGAAAATGTAGTAGCACAGAAATGCAAGTAGATGTAGTAAACTCAGGGAGTCCTCAAAAGCTTGCAGCAAATCCTCATTCCTCCTATGATGTTGATAGTACTTGGCAAGAAGAATCCAGCATTAGATATTATGCTCTGGAAACACAAACCTTCTCCTGTTTGGCCAGAACATGAATCTGTTTCCTATTCTTTCTCTTTTGCTGCTTTCCAGTGCAGCTAATTATTGGGAGGGCAAAACCATAAAGAACAAACATACTTATGCCTTTAGGACTCTCTTTGCAGAGACTACCTGTGGGTAATCTCCAGTGGGTGAAGAATTCTGCGATTAGATGGAGAATGGAGAATGACTTTGGAGGAACAGGAGCTGGCTCTTTTAAGAGCTGAAAAATTCTAATAGTAATTTGTTTTCTTTTAAAAGAGTTTTGGAAGAGTCTTCTGAAACATGAATCCTGTTACATTGTGCCGCACTGTGTGCATGTTTTCAAATTGGGTTCTAACTAATAAGATTCTGTGGCATAAAAATAAACATTTCAACGTAACAATCTCATTCAACAGTGAGATTGAGATTAAGAGCTGCCATTCTGTAGTTCTTGAATAAAAATGAGAGCTAATTATATTGGGATATTTCAGGTTCTTTCTAAAGATACTGAAAATGGTAGCAAGTTTTGTAACTTCTTCCCACAAAGGCAGACTGGGCTTTTTGTAGTGGTTTACTAGCAAGGCATGCAAAACATGCATGCAGACACAGAGGTCTAAAATACGGAAATGTCTCTCTCACCAGTTTATCCTTTTTGTATGACCACAGATTAGATTTTTTTTTTTTTTTTGCTTTTGGCACTTCCAGGGTCTAGGGTTTTCTGTATCTGAAAGCTGCACCCCCCCCCAATTATTTTTAACAAAATACAAATTGCTTTGTCTTACATGTGTGTGGCTGGCCTTGGCTTGTCTTTCAGATCCCTTATATATTTCCTTCATATTCCTTAGCTTATAAAATAAGAGATGTTTGACAGTTCTCAGTGGCTCTTGCTAATTTACGTATGAATATTTTTCAGTGTTTCAACCAAAGATGTTACCTGGGCAGTGGAATTCTGTGGAGAAATTGCTGGCTGCTGATGTACCTGATGTATCTTGGTCCACGGGAGTGACTTTTGTACTCTATGCACCCTGATTTTACTCAGGAGCAACTTTTGAACTCTACATGTCCTGATTATTCCTTCATACTGGTATTCTCTGAAGACTTTTCAGGTGGCCCATGCATCCATTTTCCCATTTTTTTTCACCAGCTTAAAGGTGGCCCATTTAATTCTTGTCACTTTTTTTGTTTGTTCGTTTGTTTGTTTTTTATTTTAATCCAAAAGTGTATTGAATATCCTGCCATATCTAGGTTTTATTCAGGGTATAGATTTTATTCAGGTTTTATTAGAAGATTCAAGTCAGGTCTTAAAGAAATTGGAAGAGAGAAATCAATCTGCAGTAAATAATACAATATTAATGATGTAAAGGGAAATTTCAAGAGAGGGAGCTATTAATAAAAACTTTTAAACCCATTTCCTGTAAGGGACATTTAAATACAAAAGAGTGAATGGCAATTTACCACTTCTATCAGCTAATAGCAGCAGCTATATCACCTGGAAACTCTTCTGCTGTCTTGCTCTCTTTAGTTGCTGTTACTCTACTGACAAGATTTGAGTACTCACCTAAGAGTAAAAATATTCAAATTCCCAATTCCTCTGGATAATGCATGATATAATTGCACTTCTGTTGCACTTCAGGTGTCTGCATGGACATTGTTGGAGGACATGAAGTGCATCCTCACTCCTGAGCTTATATGGCTGCC